GACCAAAAAAAGTCTTGCACCAGGACCCTCTCTATGTTAGTTTTGCCACTGTATGGATTCAAATATGTGATCAAACATCTATACGATAAACAGACAGACAGACAGACATATATACCACACAGAAATAGATACACAGATTCATGTATATGACATGGCTACAGGCATTTGATTCTACTGCCGGATACCACATTTCTTACATGAAACTTCATAGGTAGTAAAAAATATTTGACATTTAAAAAAAATAACAAACTGGGCTAAAAATTTGCTGAGTTGGTGAAATTTCTAGATATATAACACATTTCCTGGTGCTAACGGTGTTTGTTGTTTTTAGCAATGATATAAGGACACTATGACTTGAGTAGTAAATGAAAAGCCTTTGTTTAGTCATATTTGGCATAGACTATGAAATTTGAGTTTGCAAATTGAGCTTGCTCAATCAAAAATAAACTTAAATAAGGCACTTTCAACAATAGGAGATGAGAGCCAAGGTCACAAATCAGCTATGAATATTCGATGAAAGGGACATCCGTATATGTAGTCAGGAAATGGGATTGAAGGTCAAAAGCCAAGAAAGAACTAAGATAAAAGAATGATCCGTAAGTGTTGCCGGGAAATGAGAGTCCAGGTCAGAACCCAAAGATATGGGCGAATAATCGGACAGGTTACATCAAACAAACATGGAGTGAGGCTGCAAAGAAGGTTGTTACATACATGCAATAACAGAATAGGGAGACTTAATAAGCCTTTCAGACCCATGAAAAGAAAAATGGAAAATAAAAAATGTTTTTCCCTTAAAAATCTATATCTAAAGACATTAAAAACATTAATGTGATTTGGAAAACGAAATGTTTTTAATATTGTTATATACTGCAAGTGGTTTCATTGGTTTGCAAAAAATTCAGTTTCAAAGTTTCTTATGAAAATTTACAAAGCAGTTCTTTGTTTTTGTTATGCAAAGCCCTACATTGCATGTTTTTCAGAATAATCCTGTCCGATGTGATTCCTTAAGTTTGCTGCAGTGTGCACATCTACAAGATGGCCGCTTTTCCGGCATACGGGCTGCTACCTAGGGTTTGAACCAGTTTTGTTGTTTTTGCAGCCTCTTCTGAATAGTTGAGGATGAGGATGTCCCACCTAGGCCAGGAATTACAGTCAAAACCCTTTTAGAGTAGTTGTTTCCCTATCACAAGTTTCTTCATGACATATGAAAACATTTACAAGCATAACGTCCAGGAAGTGCCAATAAATATGAGCTAGCAAAAAAAAGTAAAATATCCTAAATAAATTCGCTATGACCCTGAGGTTTCATACTCAGACCACACATATTTACATAAAAATATTATACCAAAAGATTTACACGCATTCTAAAAACCTTAAAATATAACTAAAGTATTATAAACGAACAAAACAATGCATTTTTTTTTTTTGCCAGATGCACAGTAAAAAACGCACAATTAGCAATACCAAAGGATCAGGCTTCAACTGCCACTACCTGGGACTCATCTACAAAAGTAATAGTGTACACACTTCAATATACATGCTGCTGCCGGAGTTAATTCTAATCTCTGCCACTAGACGGCTCCAGCGACCTGTTTTCGATACTGGTTTTAAAGATAAATCATTGGACTGTGTGAACAAGCACAATTATTATTATTATTATTATTTTATTAATTATATAGCGCCAGCAAATTTAGTAGCGCTGTACAATGAGTTTTAAAATGTGTTTTCAGATTGAAAGGGATAATTGACATATTATCCTCACTGGGTCCTAAAAACGGGATAATAATGCAAAACTCAATCAGGTGGATAAAAAAAACAAAAACAACGCCATTCTTTAGAATAAAATCAGAAATGGACCCAATGTGCAAGGGGGATTGCAGCAAAAAGAGACACTGTGTGTTTTATCTATTAGCATATTAAAACAGGTTAAATACAGGCACAAACATGATAAGGCCCACCTACATTGATTTAAATACCAAATCATACTACAGATATAATTACAACTGGGAATCCTCGAAAGACATGTGTAAAAATGGAGTGGAAGGGAGAAAAGATTTGGTTGACTGCGAAGCATACTAATTAAACCAATGCTTGCACTTTAAGTTCCAGAAGATCACAATGGAACAGTAACAACATAAGTAGTATACTGTATCTAACAATACATAACAATAGCAAGGATCAATCAAGCAAGATCTTTCAAAGAGAGACACATGTAGCTACACACATTCCAAATGATGTAGAAGCGATCAGGTCATATATAAAAAGACATCAGGAAATAATTAGAAATTCACATAAAACCAATTCAAACATATGTAAACTTTCTTAGTTTGTTATTTAAAAAGAAATCCCAAATTTTAACATTGACTATAGCTGCTCTTCCTAAAAGTTATTATACCTAAATAAGTCAAAAAATGGAACATGGAAAAAATCAATTACATTTACAAAACAATTGTAATTCAAGTCCCTATATCTTCTATTAAGTTAGATGGTGTCCTCCCGATAGGGGTTTTACCTTATTATGCTAAATGGCATTGGTTGATGGGGACAAATTTTAAACTAATTATACCACGA